TCTTCTCCTAGGCTTTTCTCCTCAAGTTTATACTTCATCTATTTTAGGAAGGTGAAGGGGTGTTCTGAAGCCAATTAGGGCTGGTTCATAATAAACTCTATATTCATTACTGCCTTTTCAGGCTTGATTCTTTCCTTTTCGGTGTCAGTGCTGCTCGGCTGGGCTTTGCTTGGGCATCTTTCCAAAACTCTTGTTTTTCCCTACACTGCTGTGTGACTGGCTACCCAGAGGCTCCTGTTATCTGTCTGCCCCAAACAGTCTACAGACATACCCTGTCACCTTCTCCTTCCTGGGTGCATTGTGGGACATCTGACATCCTCTCTATTCTTAGCAGTAAGATCTTTTTCCACTGTTTCCCAAACTCCTAAATTCTATGATTATGGAGATTATGTTTTGAAGGCTTCCCACCTTAATTTCTCATTTATGAAGCATAGGACAGCCGCACTTAAGCAAAGAATTTGGGGCCTTCCATTGTCATCTCCTGTGTCTCTACACTTTGACCGCTATGTGGTGCATCATGGAAAAGGCCATCAAGTCTCCAGCCTCACTAATGATGATGCACCTGAGGCCCAGAATAACGGCAACAGGCCTGGATGTGTATGCTTATGCAGGGATAGAAATGCACCTGAGTCCCTGCCTGATTGCTTGGTAATTGTGCTTTGTATTAAGTTATTTAATAACAAAATATTTTCTGTTTAAAAACTACCACCTTGGCTTTGCTTTTCTACTTACTCAGTGTCTGACCTGGGGAAAGTTAATTCACCTACCTTGGTCTTCTCATCTATGAAATAGATTAACTGTTTTATGAGGCTTTTGAGGATAAATATGTTAATCATATGAAACACATAGTACCTATAGTACCTGACCTATAGGTGAAGTCTCATTTTGTGGATACGTGCCACCAAATTCGTGTGAAGTTAAATTATATAAAGAAAATTCTGTTTTGCTGTTACCTTCCATTTAACCATTGCTGTTGTGTTCCAGTGGGTAAGATTATTCTAGTAAAAACATTAAGCCACCTGGAAATGAGTTGCATGGTTGAGCACTGAAATTAATGTAGCCCTTCGCCAAATACTGGCTTTTCCTTGTAGTGCTTTCCTCACTTTGGAACCTTGCTGCCATTGCAGGCTGTTTTTTCCTTTCTTGTACCATAGGCATCTTGCTTGGGACCCTCTAAGTTTTCTCTTTCTTGTGATAACTGGCATAATCCCAGTTCTTGGTAGTCACAGCATGATAGTATCTGGGTTGCCATTCTACTCCTTTAGGTATTACAAATGAAAAAACAATTTTTTAAATTGTGCTTTAGGTTCTGGGGTACATGTGCAGATCATGCAGGCTTGTTGTATAGGTGCTTACATGGCAAGGTGGTTTGCTGCCTTTATCCCCCTGTCACCTATATCTGGTATTTCTCCCCATGTTATCCCTCCCCAACCTCCCCCCAGCTGCTCTCACTCCCCTAGCCCCACCCAAACAAACCCCAGTGTGTAATGCTCCCTTCCCTGTGTCCATATGTTCTTATTGTTCAACAGCCGTCTATGAGTGAGAGCATGAGGTGTTTGATTTTCTGTGCTTGTGTCATTTGGCCGAGAATGATGGTTTCCAGATTCATTATATCCCTACAAAGGACACGAACTCATTGCTTTTTATGGCTTCATAGTATTCCCTGGTGTATACGTGCCAAACTATTGTACTTCAAACACGGTTAATGTAAATTTTCTAAGGCATAAGGTAAAATTTCATGTCATCTACCCACAGTAAAGGTCATACCATTAGTATTGCTGTTAGTATTAATGCCTATTTGGAATAATTTTTACATTTGATCATTAAAAATACTTTATAACTGTCTTCTTCCTGTAATGCATGTGTTTTTATTTTGCTTTCCTTTTGCAATTCATTCTCATAAAATAGGTTCAGTTTAAAAGTTTCAGTAGCATTTAAATTAACTATTATGTTAAAAACAGATACGATAATGTCAGAAGTGGAGAAAACGTAACATTATTTTTCAATACCTTAATGATCCTAGGAGTATAAGTAATGTTACACAGCAAAATGAACACACATATTAGAGATATTTTCAAAATAATTTAAAAGTTACGTGTACACAGATATTTGTGCAATATAAAGTTACGTTAAATGTCATAATCAAAAAAAGTACAGTAAAGTTTTGCCAGTGATGGTATGAACCAGAACACGTATGTGAACACCTTTTCATATCTGATAAGTTTTATTCCTGATGGCAGTAAAACCAAGTAAATGAAATGCAAAATGTTGACTGCAGTATAATGGTTGAAATTTTTACATCCATAAAGGAGTCAGGATAAATATATGGTCTTATGATGGCTGTAGGTTCTTATGTACATTTTTAAGTGATCGATAGTACCATGGCCAAAATACCATGGGGACAAAATCACAGTTGGTATGAACTATGTTTTATTGACTCTCCCTATGCCCCAGATGTGTAAAATATTAACCCTGAGACTGATTTCCTATGGCTTGTCTGTTTTTGTTCAGGGCTAGGTGTGGTGTGTGTCCATCATTAGCACACTCTTTTCTTCTTCGGACTGTATAAAATGGCAATATCAATGTGGAACAGGGAGTTCAAATCGCAATCTTTCCATATTCTGATACCATGTTTTCCACTTAAAATTTTTTGGTCAAATATATAATTCCAAAATCTATCAAGATTTTTTTTACCTGATTTAGTTCTGAACTCTTTTGAATCAAATTAGAGAACCATGTCTTAGTTGCAACTCCTGTGTCTTGTTTTCCACAATGTCTGGGGTTCCAGGAGTGTGCATGAGGGAGAAGCAGATGTGACGTAACAACCCCATCTTGCTGCTGTTTGTTTGTTTGATGATTCCCTTTGGCACTGATCAAATCCTATCCCTTGCTATTTTTTGAGTTACTGTCATTTTAAATTAGGACTCCTTGGGTTTCTTCTGTGTTTCTATCTCTAGGCAGGAAGAAAGGTATACTTCAACTGACTGCCGTTGTGAAGGATAATTGTTTACCTTTGTCTTAGGAGATCTGCATTTACAAACTGAACATGAGAAAAAAAAAGCAGATAACTAATGGATGCCTGCTTTTAAGTACAAATACAATATAAAGAAAACTCTTTACGTGGTTAAAATCATGGTTAAAATCAACAGATTTCATCTACAGAGCGGTAATATATCATAAAAACAACTCAATGGAAGTTTATATAAATTAATTAAATTGAACTCTTTTTATAAGCAGGCTGTTTTTAGAAGGAAAACCTAATACTCTATATTTCAGTCAGAAGTCTTGGGTAGATTTGGAGAAATATGTTGCTTGTGGCATGGCCATAACAAAAAAGATTTAATTCCCAAATATTGCTGGGGGAGAGCTCTCTAGTCCAGTGGCCATTACATAGTTTTCTGTATGCTAGGATCCTCCCTTTTTGAAATCTGGCCTGTTATACTTGGGTCATCTTTTCGAGTACAATTACTTCAGGTTGGCAAAGATCTCTAGTTAAAGAATCTGAATAATTAGAGTTCTGTGCTTTTCTTACCTGATTATATTCCCACAGCTCATATCTTTGAGATCTCAATCTGTGCCATAGAGTCAGGCATTTAAAGTTTCCTAGTAAATCGTTAGGTGTTTGTACCTATAAACTCAGTATTAGAAGTAAACAAAACTCCTTTTATTTTACTTGGAATTAAATACTCAATGGAAAATTTAATTTTGAAATGCCCAAAGCCTAACTAAGGAGAATTCCTTTAGATTTTTTAAAGCCTATCATTTTACCAAGTTGTATTACTGGAAAGCTATGTACTTGGGTCGCACTTTAGTAGCTCTCCAAATAGATACCTTAAAAAATTTTTATTTAATAGTATGCCGTTAACTTTTATCAGGGGTCAGCTAAAGAGAAGACTGTATGACAACCATTTCTATTAGCTTTTATGAAATTGAAATTGAATTCTGTGGGTTACATTAGTTCTTATCCTTAATAAAGATTCGTATGGTAAAGGCTTAGAGCTTTATCCTAGAAGAATTTCCATCTTTCTTTTTTAACAAACTGGTATCCGTTCCTTTATCAGATACCAAGTGTATTATAGCTCAAAAGTTTCCCACTTTGAGGGGCTTTCTAAGACTCACAAACCAAAGCGATTGTAGCTTGGGTATTCTGGTAAAACCTTACTAATGTTTTTCTTCACTTCCTTCATTGGTTCATGTTCTTGTCCCATTGCTATAATAGTTCACTTTCATAGCTCTCCTGGAAATAGGCAGTACATCAGTAACTGAATGAGCTAGATTATTCAATCCTAAATTCTAGATTCAGAGTAAGCAGATTTTAAAAGTAGGCATTTTTTTTTAAAAGCAATAGTTGAAAATCTCTTAAATTACTACCCCAACTCATCAATTCCCCATTCAATTCTGAACACAGTTTGAGTTGCTGCCATGCCGCAGGAAATGGCAAGCAAGGCTGGAGCTCATGCTCTGTACATCATTGCATATCTCAGAGTGAGGTTGCATGCTGAGCCTGGAGATTTAAAAAGGTGAAGAGGTTGGTGGTTACCCATTCCATTTATATATTTTATAGTGATAGCAATTATCATCATAGATTCTGCCTTTGGGTTTTTTTTTTTCCTATGGCTCTGGAATCTGTTTGGACTTTTATTCCTAGTTTCAGAAAGTATCCTCAAGAAGATTTTTCTTTTCCAGACTATTCTTGGAATTACCTGAGTTGTAGGTTATAAAAATTCCCTGAATATGTTTTTCAAGCAGTTTATTTTTGCATTGCAGTTTACCTTCTAGGAAAATTGATGAAATATGTATACTTTGATTCTTAGATTTAATTTAAACAGAATAGAAATGCCAAATATTTTTTCCAAATTAATAACATTTGTTTTTGGTGTTTAAAAAATTTGTTACTAGAGCATATTCTTAACAAGTCAATTTATGTCTCTTAAAATTAACATGCATTTAACTTTTTAACATAGATTGGGTCATGAAACTTGTTGTTTGTTCTACCATAGGGTCCTGGGTACTGGGTGAAGATTCATCACTTAGAATATACAGATGGAGGAATCCTGGATCCAGATGATGTCTTGGCAGATGTTGTTGAAGATAAAGACAAGGTAGATAACTCTAAAAATGTGCCTCTTTGTTTTCCTTTATAGAGCTGCATGTTTTCATGAGACTGAAATCCTTAACAAACTCATGTGTCAATTATTATTAAAAGATACCATCTGTTCAGGTTTCACCTGGACAGCCCATAAATCAAAGTTCTTCATCAGATGTTTGGGAAAAACTTCGTTAAGGTTTGGGAATCTGTATGTGTTAGCCTAATTAGCAGACACTTCATTCCCAAGAGCTCCTGATATGTCTTAATAAATTAGTGTCATACATGAGGCTGTTAGAGTTATTATTGTTGTTGCTGGCTCTGTAGTTTATTCCTGGCCCTTGCTAAATATTCAATTAAATGTCTGAGGTGTAAATGTGTTTCAAAGTAGAGAATACAGTGGGACAGAAAGTTTTACGAAGAATTATGGTGAAGATTTTTCTTAAAGTAGCTGGTAAGCAACTATCTTGAGAGATAGTCTTGTTTTCATTGCTACAGTAAAAGACACTAAATTGAATAATCCAAACAGTTTGATCATGTTCTGCCACCTATTTGGGAATAATCCAGTGGAAATATGTTGTTGTAATGAGAATTTTTCTTCTGAGACTACGCAGAGGAAGGCGTGAAAGTGTACTGTTTCACTGCAGTACACAGGATTATTGCTGTTGAGACATGTTTAATACTACACATTGAGCTCCTGTCATCAATGTCTAATGTGTTTTCCAAAACTGAACTTCAACTCTGTCAGAGAGATCTTGCTTTCAAAGCTTCTTCTATCGCTTATCTTCAGTGCTGTTTGTATTAGGCTAATTTATATTTGTAAACATATTTCTCTCTGTATTTTCCCTGTAATCTCGGGTATGTGTGTGTTTTACCTAACTGGACTGGAATATAAATAAGTGATTTATTAAACTCAGGTAAAATTTATATTTTTCTTTTTCCATAATATCTTTTCAGACTGTTAAAATTTATATTAATCTTTGCCAACATTTTTTACATTTACTTTTCATATTTTGTTTTCTAATTCAAACCTGTTTTGCCTTATGTTGTTATTAGTGATTTTATAGTCTATTTAGGGAGATAACTAACTAGGTTTTATAGTCTACTTAGGGAAATAACTAGATGGCTAGATAAGCCTAGTTATCTCCCTAAATAGTGTCTAAGCTCCTAGTGGACATGGACTGAGAGATTTTTATTTTGTATGTTTCTTTATGTTAATAGTATCTCGTATAACATCTTACAAAAACTTGAGTCTCAAAGAATACTTACTGAATTAATGAGCGCAAAAGAAAATTTCAGTTTCTGTACTTGATTCTTCTTGGATATAATTTTGATATGTACTTCCTGATTACTTAGTTGGTTTCAGGGTGAATAAAAGGGTAAATAATGTATTATTAACCTTCAGAACCCTGAAGAAGGGTTTTTACTACTTTCCCCCCTTTCACTTTCTGCTTCTTCCCTAGGGATCATCTTCTTTCTTTGAAATAATCTAGATATTTGAATTGTTGAGTAATGTAGAAGGCAGTTCCTGTCTTAAGTTTCACTGGTGTCCAAAACATTAAAATGAAAGGCCAAAAACGGCAAGTTTAGGAAGGCCCAGAAGAAAATGTCTCACCCCGACTTCATCTAGTATCTCATTACTGGAAGGATGAGTCCTTGAACAGTGCCTAGGGAAATAATTTGTCCTTTAGAGTGCTTACATTTGAAACATTCTTTAAAACTATCTCAGCAATGAAGTTTATAACCGTAATCTACTTACTGGACACAGAAACAGCTTTATTATATGTCATCTCTGTTTTAATGGGGCTCTACTACCATTACTAAATAAGGTAAAAAAGTGAGATAATCAGTTAAAATCCTAGCCAAGGATTAGTACTGCTTGGGCTCAGCTTTAACCATTCCATTAATGTACTTCAGTATTTCTATATGATGCCTAAATGGTATTGTTCTGCAGAGTTTATGAGGATTTATACTTTTGGTTTGCCAGAAATAAATTGTGCTGCCATTTCTTCCTTTTAAAAAAATGTAAGTGAAAAAAAGAATTACATCTTTTTCTGACATTCGCTTGGTAATCTTAAAATTTCCTTATAGCCCATATGTCTAGTGTGGAAAGGAAGCCTTGCCAAACTATATTCTACCATACTTTTTGTCAGTTTAGATTAAGAAGTAATCCATAAATGATGCTTTGTGGATGTTTAATGACATATCAGTCTCACCCAGGATCCTTTGAGGCAATATTGAGATAAGACAAAATAACAGTTCACCTGTTTGCAAATTGGCTACCTAATAATCTTTGGCATTTAAAATATGGATAGAAAGTCCAAAGAGGCATGGATAGATGCACATAATCATTGTGATAAAGCCAAAATATCTCACCTCCTAGGAAAGACTCTCATTTCAGGTGAGAAATTGCATTGAGGAACTGTTGGTCTCCAGTTGCAAAGGATCAGGCGGGAAAAACAAACAGAAAGCAGAGAAGGCTGGGTCATTTAGTGTATGGAAACACCATCCCATATACTTCAGTGAAGGTAGAAACTAGAGGTTAAATGACATTCTACTTAAAATTAGAGAAGGATCTAGCAAAGTTCAGCCAGTGTTCTTAAGAAATGGCTTTTAAAACCTGTGCCTAAATTGATTTGTCTTTGGTCTTACCTCTATTATAGTGCTTGGTTCATACATGGTGTCTCTAGGATCTTTGGTTCCATTTGTTTTTTTATACTTGCTTTTCCAGGAAAGCTTCCATGAGGACCAAGTCTTCACTGTGTTACACACTTTCTATCCTATAATGTGTCAAAGTATTATTGGAACAACTTTGGATGTCCAAAGTATTATTGAAACAAATTTGGAATGTTGCATGTTATGATAACTGTTTATATAAAATTTTGTGCTAAAACTTAATAATTATCTGGTTGTGACAGTTATTCTCAAGATTTTCAGTTTGTTTATCCATCTGATGATTCAAGTTCTTTGAGATAAATATCTAAGAATTGTTACTTTATGTTAACATCTCTTCTCTGATTGCTAAAGGCCACCAACTTAGTTCACCCAAAGTAACAACCTAATCATTGAGCACTAACAATGGAATGTCTTTGGCCTTTATGCATTCAATTTCATTTTAAAGCAATCCTGAAGACAAGAGCTAGTGTTACTCCTATTTTTAATTTCCAAAAAATTAAATTTTAAGTAACTTGCCCAAGATCACACAGGTGGTAAGTAGCACAGTCAGACTCTGGAACCTAGAATTTAAATTTCCATAATCTTACTTCTTTTCTTCTCTGATGTGTCAAGCAGTTTGGTGTTTGTATCTATAATTTCTATTATGAAAATTAATCAGTTATAGATTAACATGAATTTTGCTTTTACATAGTCCTCACTATGGCTAAGAAAACGTTGGTAACAGACAAAACTGTTAAGTGTAACAAAACAATTGAGTAAAAATTTTATTAATTATAAATAAATTCAGAATTAATATGCCATACATATTTAGTATACTTCAACTCTGTTTGCCTATAGCTTGCATTTAGTTTATTATAACTCTGGCCAATTGCACCTCTGTTGCTTTCTCTTGCATCGTCTTTTTGCTGGGACCCAGATTACTCAGTTCAGATACAGTTTAATTTCAGCTGGACTCTGCAGACTGCACTGGAAGTCTAACCACCATATGCAGTTACAAAGAAAAACAAATTTGTATTCCAATAACTACTTTGTTGAACCAGGTATAGACTGTGCTGTTTTCAGTAGGCAGAATAATGGCTCCCAAAGATGTCTATGCCCTAATCACTACAACCTGTGAATATGAATGTTACATGGCACGGGGGCTTTGCAAATGTGATTAAGAATCTTAAAATTGAGAGATTGTTCTGGATTATTTGGATGGACCCAGTGTAGTCACAAGCATCTTTATAAATGAATGAAGAATGCAGGAGAATCAGTATGAGAGAGACAGATGTGAGAAAGATGTACCCAGCCAATGCCAGCTGTGAAGATGGAAGAAGGTGCCACCCGTGAAGAATGTAGGTGACCTCTAGACACGGGAAATGGTAAGGGAATAGATCCTCTCCTAAAGCCTTCAGAGAGAACACAGTCCTGCTGACACCTTGATTTTAGTCCAGTGAGACTCATTTCAGATTTCTTACCTCCATAACTATAAGATAATGAATTTGTGATGTTTCAAGTCACTACTTTTGTGGTAACTTGCTACAGCAGCATTAGGATACTAATATATATGCTGCCTCTTTTCCCATTTCAAACTTTTAAAGTGATGTTAGTATTCTCAAATTTCATATTGACTTGAAATGCCTTGTAGTTCAGATGGGTTCGTTGTTCTTTGCGTTCCTCCCAAAGTCTGTCACAAATGATTCTCAGTTTATCGGGTGAGCCTTCACTCTTTGAGACTTAATCTTTATATATCTCATTATGCTGTTGTCTTCCATAGTGTAGAAATTATTTTAAAGTAACAGCCAAACAGCCTTGTTCACTTACCAGTTTTTCACTGCGGTATGTACAGGTCCTAAGAAGTCTGAAGACTGATGCTTAGTAAACCACTGCAAAGCTTAATGTTGCCTTCCTGTTTTTTTTGTTTGTTTGTTTTTTGTTTTTTTTTTAACTGAGCATGCGAACTTCTGAGTATTAAGCTTTTTAAATGATTATTTTCCTTGTTAATTGCCATTATTACTTTTTGGCTTGGTTGTAGAGGACAACTGCAATATAACAAAAATATGGCAATCTATAACTTCTGTTACAGAAACTGAATTACTGCCATGGTTTCATTAAATATACAAAAGTAATACTATATTATGTAGTAAAGTAACATGGAAAGATGCTTCTGTTCTTGACTAAATTGTGCCTATCATAGGGGCTCAGTTTGGAGAGATGCCAGTGGTCTTCAGAGCTTCCAAGTGAATTGCTCACTGGATCATATGCAATATCTCATACTCAAATGTTAAAATTTCAGTTCAGTTTTTTATCTCTTATGTGTCCTTGGGCAAGTTTCTTCTCTCTGGCCTTGGTTTCCCA